TAAACAACACAACAGAAAAAACCACCAAACATCTTTGGTTCACCTACACCTAGTTGGGTTTAGACCTGATCTAGTCACACTCCCATCCCGTGTTTTTTGAAAATAAAACTTTTATGATTTAAAAATACAAAAAAGTATAAAATGAAGATTTTCTTGTTGTGGTTCATCTCATGTAACCTGGTCAAAGCCCTACCGTTTTGAGAGAAGAATAAGTCAGCTGAAGACAATCACTTAAGAACTTCTTTTTTGAGTTCTTAAGATGACCTTGCTAGTTGGGATATTTAACACAGTATGCAAGGCTAGTCCTCTCTTCACTCTTTCCATTGTTTTTAATCACTCCTTGGACCATTCAATTGAGCCAATCTTCTTTGACTTTGCCCTTTCGAGTTAATCCCTTCTGTTTTGTCTTCGGTTATATTTAGTCATTCACCCATGTCAACTGTTTTAAGTCAGTAGATGAACTTTATTTATTAATGCCTCGCATATGCTATGATTTCTGTACATGGTAACACGGATATGGATATGGGAAATGGGGATACGATATGGTATTTATAAAACACGATGCAAGTACAAATGTCATAGGATACTATACAATACAATGCAATACAACCTATTTTTTAGGTCTAATAATTTCAGTCATGAGCAATGTTTTATGATGCGGAGGCGTGATGCGTGGCGTTCCACTACCTAGAGGTGTGAGGCGTAGTTCAGAATGTAAGAGCCGCAAGACTCCTGAACACATTGAGGCGTAAGCTTCCTTAAGAGGAGGGGGGTCAAGAGGAAGAAGGAAGAGGAAGGGGATGAGGAAGAAGAGGAAGGGGGGGATCTCATTTTTTCTTTATCTTAAATAATAAACTTTTATATTAAGAAGAATAAAGGTGCACTACACTAGTTGAAAGGGGGCGAAGCCCCCTAGCCGAAGGGGCCAGGGGCAGGCAGACCACTTTTTTTCCCTTGTCTTTTCTTCCCTTCCCTTCCCTTTCATTTTCTCTTTTTTTTTCTTCTCTTTCATTCTTTTTCTTTCTCTTCCATTTCTTTTCTTTATAGATCAAATGTAGATACAAGAGAATAGGGGAGGGATAAGCTTTCTTAAACTTCCCCAACAAAAACACAAACATACAATAAAGTCCAAAGCAAGTTTCTCCTTCCTATCCCTTATTTAGCAAGTACTACAACAAAAGAGTTAGCACTTCTCGTCACCCATTGGAATCTCATTTCCTTATTTTGG